CTCTGCAGACCGTTTACATGCATACAAACCTTCATAACACACAAGGGGACGAGTAATAACCGGAAAAGCATGACATGGGACCTTTAAAGTAAAACAAATCCACAGGTGCAATTAATACTAGATAACATAAACATAGAAAGAGTATATAAAATGAAGTTCCTTCCTTCCTGTGGTTTTAGAGCACAACTTCAGCTGGAAACCTCATATCACTCATGTAAAAGCAAAACTGGCTAAGACTATCGCAATATTGGGAAAAGCCAGACACTTTCTGATTTCCTTGCCACTGTTAAGCCTCTCAACAAGGTTACTGGCTCATTCTTAGTCATTTCCCATGGTTCTCAATTCTCTGTTTGTCAGTGTATTTCGTAGTGTTCCAATACTAGCACAGATTTGACAAGACAGTTTTTCGCATTTATACCGTTCAGTATACATTTTTCTCTTTCTCACCTGCATTTAAAAATACTATGAACATGTTTTAGTAAACTAAATCCTTTTTTTGACAAAAACAGAGAGAAAAATCTGAAATCTGCCAAATTATGATATAGTCTGAAATGATTTGATGAAAACATTTAAAGAAGATTTCACATCATAGCAAATGTTATGTTTTGGTCAGGGGTGGTGGAACGTAATCAAAAAAATGTGTTCAAGTACTATAGTATAATTTTGAGTACAACATTTCTCAAATATTTAAATTTAAATGAAGGTCCAAGGTACAAAGCGATCAATGTATCCTATATTTTACAATTGCCAAAAGGGACTCCAAAATATGAATACAACTTTATTCATTGGAATTTCGTTTTTCTTCTTTGTAACCCCATGTATTAATGTAAAAATGCTAAGATCCCTAGTTTAGGAAGCATAGTACTAAACTACTTAGGTGTATATGAAGTAGTTAAAGCTAACTCCACCTTGTTGCTTACATATTTATCAGAGCCCAGCTCTTCTTCATGTCATATAAATCATCACCATTACCTTTTTTGGCACTCTCTTAATAATCTCCCTCTGTTCTTTGCCTCAGTGGGAGGAGATCGGGGAAGTAGACGAAGACTACGCTCCCATCCACACCTACCAAGTGTGCCGGGTGATGGAGCAGAACCAGAACAACTGGCTCCACACCAACTGGATCCTGACGGAGGGCGCCCAGCGGGTCTTCATCGAGCTCAAGTTCACCCTGAGAGACTGCAACAGCCTGCCCGGGGGGGTCGGGACCTGCAAGGAGACGTTTAACATGTACTACTACGAAACGGACGAGGGCGACGAGGAAATTGACGGAGAGATGAACGATGGGACGGGGATGACGGAGGAGGTGGACAGGGCGATGAAGGAGAGCAGATACTTCAAAGTGGACACCATAGCCGCTGATGAGAGCTTCACAGAGCTGGACCTCGGGGACCGCGTGATGAAGCTCAACACCGAAGTCCGCGATTTAGGCCCCCTGACCCAGAAGGGCTTCTACCTGGCGTTTCAGGATCTGGGGGCCTGCATCGCTTTGGTCTCGGTGCGTGTTTTCTACAAACGCTGCCCGTTTTTGGTGAAGAGTTTGGCCGAGTTCCCCGACACCATCCCGGGCTCAGAAGCCTCGCAGCTGGTGGAGGTGGTGGGCCGCTGCGTCAATAACTCTCTGCCTTTATATGAGCCTCCCAGGATGCACTGCAGCACGGAGGGCGAATGGCTGGTGCCGATCGGGAAGTGTGTGTGCCAGCCGGGATTTGAGGAAATCAACGGATCCTGTCAAGGTAAGAGGGAAAAACTTGAGCGTGGAGTACTGCTTAAACAATCAAAGTCAGTTAATGATTGATACAAAAATGGTAATTTTCATAGTCATTTATTATTATTCATTTATCCAACAAAAAAGCTAAATTAATAATTTGGCGTGAAAATTGCTTTGTTTTGACCCCCTTAAATCACTACCCAGTGTTAGCATTCTGGTCTTTCTTTAGGTTTGAGGGTGCACAGGCCTGTGTGTTTGCTTGTGGGTTGCTGTCTTCCTCCAGTTGTTTATTTTTATACCCATGAACATGTTTGTTTTTAGTATTGTGTGTTTTGAGTGTGCGTACAGATCTGTTTTATTCTTTTACTTAGAGTGTTTCTCGCTGTGTGTGTGTGTGTGTGTGTGTGTGTGTGTGTGTGTGTGTGTGTGTGTGTGTGTGTGTGTGTGTGTG